ATGATGTAAAAGTGTTACGGACACTACGTCATTACTTAGAATGATGTAAAAGTGTTACGGACACTACGTCATTACTTAGAATGATGTAAAAGTGTTACGGACACTACGTCATTTTGAAAACATTCATTTAATCAATGTAGTAAACCTGCAGAAGTAAATATATAGTTATGATCAAAGTTAAACATTAACATTGCTATTAATGTTAAACTTAATTGGTATGGTTCTACAAATGTTAAACTTGGTATGGTTCTACAGCCAAGCAAGCTGCATGTTTAACCATATTTTATGAATGTTTGTAACACTAGCTTTATAGAGTGTAGACAGTGATTTATCATATTTTATCATATTTATGACTATTTCAGATATATTATGGATCTCAGATCATCAAAATACCAGGTTTCTCTGGATCCTGTGACACTCAAACAAGAGATCCCAGAGGGATCTTGGTGCCTTCCTTTGTACCATCTTCATTAGTTCTTTGTCAGTTCGATCTTTTCTCTTCTTTCCTCTAATCTGTTTGATCGAGTCATGTTAACAGTAAATGCCCCTTGAGGTAACTTTTGATCTAAACTTAATACTGATGTGTATGAAAGCCAACCTTCAAAGTGAGTTTGTCATTTCACATATTTACTAGTACAGTACTTAATGTGAAAGAAATAGAATCGATCATTGCAATATGAGAAAGATCTGTTTAGTTCTTCTTTTAATCCATTTTGTTTTTATGATCAGTCTCAAAATATAACATACACAACAAGGGATCAAGGGGAACCTACATTTAAAATTTGAGAAAGATCCCTCTGGTACTTCTTGAGAAATAGCGATAACAAACTTTCACTATCAAAATCCAAGATGGCTGCCTGTCGGCCAAGAATTGTTTACGGACGGACAACGGACAACGGACAACGGACAACGGACGGACGACGGACCGAGGACACAGGGTGATTTGAATAGTCCACCATCAGATGATGGTGGGCTAAAAAGATAGGCAAATGCTGCAAAGGTAAAATGATGTCAAGAATAACAGAAAATGGATTTAGGACAAAGATGAAAGTCTTAAAGAAAAGGACAGGAACAGAAAACAAGAGGAAACACAGAAACAACGAAGGGAAGGGAAGCAAGCCAAAATTCCATGGCGGTAGATAATCGGAGAAAAAAAAAGAAACGTAAGGAGGGAAGCAGTTCCATAGAAAGAAAGAAAAAGAAGTGAACAAAGTTAAAAAGGTCAAACAACACAAAGTAATAAAGGAAAAGAAAGTTATGCCAGAGAAAATGGCCATTAGAAGCCGACCACAACAATGGAGAATGAAAGTAAAACGGAAGTGTATAAAAGAACATGGACAAACAAACGAAGACCAAAATACTACAGCTGGCGATATAACAGATGCTAGCCCTACTAGTACAAGCTCTGGTTATACTTCACGCTTCGCAAGATATCTATTAGACAGATGAAGAAAATTAAAGCCACTCTGCCAAAAACACCAACACGACAAGCTGTTGTGGTCTGCATAGAAAATAATAAACATAGCCCTGCACATATTTCCATAGCTGAGGTGCATGTGATTGGTGAGGTAAAAGGAGGAGATATACAAGTCCAAATAAAAGTGGAAACAAATACATTTGGCCTGAGCCTGACAAACAGGGAATATCATGTGAGCAAAAATTAGAGTAGGTACAGTTGAAGAGATCAACACATGATATTGTTTCCTTCAACTCGGCAATGGTGCTTCAAACCCAATCCAGTGATATCATCAATGATATATAACATGGCAGTATCTCAAAATGTTAGATGAGCTAATCAAATGTTTATTTTATCATTTTATGCAGGGTTTTTTATGAACAGACAGTATGTAGTGTCCGTAACCGTGCAAAAACTGGTAGTCTTTCATTTCTAAATGAATTTCATTATAGCCTATTGTTTAAGCAACAGCAGTATATTGGTATTTTCTGTAGTGTTATTTCAATTAAAATAATCTTATTTGTCAATTTTCAATTCAATCTTCAGATTAATGCTTGTGACACTTGTAATTTACGAACATGTGTTTACAAGATTTACTTCAGAACTTCAGAGCTAAAATCATATTAATAATTATCTTTTGAAAGATGACAAAATGATAACTTCTGACCAGTTATATCTGCAATAGTACATTAATGAGATGGACTTTTGTGTATACTTATGAAACAACTGTACTTGTGTGACACACTATAAAAGAAATCATGTTTTGTAGTGTCCATAACCATATTGTTAATCACTGAAAAATAGTTTGATATTCTCATATGAATTATTTGTTTTGTGGAAACTTTTGCTATTAATTGAAAAAATTCTATTGGCATCTTTAAAACTAGATAATTATGAGTTTATTATTATGATTTTAATGTTAGGTCCAAGAAAAAGTGGGTGTCAAATGTTCTTTGTTGATGTCTAAAATGTTATATTTTCATTGAATTAATTAAAATTAACAAAAAACATTCCTGATTTTGTCTTGTTTAAACTTTGTGTAGTGTCTGTAACCAACATCATATCACTGAAAATTAAACAAACTTATAGATAACACAATTACTAACCATTTAGGTTTTGTGAGCGTCAAATATCAAACTTTCATAAAATACCAAGCATTCATTATTTGAAGAACCTTCATTTTTCACTGTCAGAGCACAGTTGGACCCATTATTGTGTTTTACCCAATTATGAGAAAGATCTGTTAAGTTCTTCCTTTAGCCATTTCGTTTTTATGATCAGTCTAAAAATATAACATGCACAACGAGGGATCAAGGGGAACCTACATATCAAATTTGAGAAAGATCCTTCCAGGACTTCATGAGAAATATAAGCGATAACAAACCTTCAATGTCAAAATCCAAGATGGCTGCCTGTCGGCCATTCTGTTTTTCTGATCAATCTCAAAATTAAACATGCACAACTACAGACCTAGGGGAGCCTACATAACAAATTTGGGAAAGATATCCCTCCAGTCCTTCCTGAGAAATAGCAAAACAAACCTTCACTAGCAAAATCCAAGATGGCTGTCTGTCAGCCATGTTGTTTATCCAAACAGTCTTTAAAGTTCCCTTAAAAAAACCTGTTTTATTGCTAATTTTTCATTCATTGTGTGAAAAGCTACATTATGACAACAATTTTCAATTTTAATGTTATGTCCAAGAAAAGTGGGTGTCAAATGTTCTTTGTTGATGTCTAAAATGTTATATTTTCATTGAATTAATTAAAATTAACAAAAAACATTCCTGATTTTGTCTTGTTTAAACCTTGTGTATAGTGTCCGTAACCAACATCATATCACTGAAAATTAAACAAACTTATAGATAACACAATTACTAACCATTTAGGTTTTGTGAGTGTCAAATATCAAACTTTCATAAAATACCAAGCATTCATTATTTGAAGAACCTTCATTTTTCACTGTCAGAGCACACAGTTGGACCCATTATTGTGTTTTACCCAAATATGAGAAAGATCTGTTAAGTTCTTCCTTTAGCCATTTCGTTTTTATGATCAGTCTTAAAATATAACATGCACAACGAGGGATCAAGGGGAACCTACATATCAAATTTGAGAAAGATCCCTCCAGGACTTCATGAGAAATAGCGATAACAAACCTTCAATGTCAAAATCCCAGATGGCTGCCTGTTGGCCATTCTGTTTATCTGATCAGTCTCAAAATTAAACATGCACAACTACAGACCTAGGGGAGCCTACATAACAAATTTGGGAAAGATCCCTCCAGTCCTTCCTGAGAAAAAGCAAAACAAACCTTCACTATCAAAATCCAAGATGGCTGTCTGTCAGGCATTTGATGATTTGTTTCTGTCAATCAAAATGATTCTTACAATTAGAGTTCAAAGCCTACTCGTATTAAACTGATATTTTTTATGAGTAGGGTGCAACTTCTTGTTGTCAGGACCATTTCAATTGACATAAAAAATGCCTGTGAAAACACAGTATCATATATATTATTATGAATTAATTTTATAAGTTGTGTTGCTGACAAATCTTTTTATTTTTCAGCTTTGAATTTGGTATTGTGGATGAGGATCAGCTAGATCTGCTGGAAGAACAGTTCAATGAATGTAGAATGTAACTTTTACATCATTAAAATATTTAAGTTATAATTTAATATATATCTATTTTTCTTATATTTGTTGCAAAAAAAGCCGTCGCGCACTATGACCCTCTTTTTTATTTTCAAAAGAGGGTCAACATCCTCTTTTAGTAGCCTATATCCGGGGTTGGCAGGTATGCCTCTCGTACTTCTTGAGAAATAGCGATAACAAGAATTGTTGAAGGACGGACCACGGGCCACGGACGCAGGATGATTTGAATAGCCCACAATCAGATGATGGTGGGCTAAACATCCAAGAAATACTACTTTTTAAGGGTTTGCACCTATAGACACTGCTTTACTGTTTACCCTGTATTCAATTACAAAGCAATTTCACACAGTGTGACCACTTTCAATCAGAACATGTATCAAAACACACTGGTTAACCATTTCTATCCCGAGACAGTGCATTTGACATTTTCATAAAAAAACAAGGCAAAGTATTGCTAGGCAATCCATAGTCCTCCACTGGTAAGATTTACAAACAGTACACTTATGTCTGGATGTACCTACTGTAAGGAAAGTATCCTGATACATACTTCTTGCCCTCCGCCATCCCAAGATGTCCTTGTACACCAAATCTGGTAATCCAGGTGAAATAGTACAGAAGATATGTCCCGGACAAACTTCTCGGACGGACAGAGTGCAAACCTATAGTCCCCCCGGGAAACCAGTGGAAGGCTAATAACTGCATTAGAGTTGTATAAAAATGCTTTACAAGTTAAACACAAAGACATTGCTTTCAAATTTGTATTGAAAGATCATCTTAAATAAATAACCTAAGTACTTCATACTTGTGACTTTGTGACTCTAAAAACACCACTTTATTTGTCTTGCAGTCATACAGAAACTTGTGAAATGCCAATAGATAATCCCGACTTTTACCTGGAAGGTTTTTCCCCAGGGATGGTCCAGCCTGCTGGTGTGTTAACAGATGTCCTATACCTAGACATAGCATTTCTTTTCTGCTGCTGATACTGAGAACCAGTAGTCACAAGGGTGCTGTACGCATCCTGGATGTTAGCTGTAATGTATCGCCCAATGCGAAAGTCCTTAAAGGTGAAGATCAGTAATTGCTTCTCCAGGCCAACAGATCTGAGTAGCAAACAAACACTGTGTCAATGTAATGGACTGTAGCTTTTATACTTTCAGTGACAAAAAGTCAAATTTGACTTTGAAATTTGAAATTTTTCGGAAGCTGTCAAGTTTTTAACAGATTTGACCCTAAACATGACCTTGAACGTAGGTAAAGGTCACTATATGAAGAAACTTTATAGCACTAAATCCAACTGGTCTACTGACCAAATATCATGACCCTGGACCTTATAAAACTTATGAGGATTTTAAAAGCATTTTACCCATTATATTTATAGCCTATATTGACATCTGGCCAGCACTCAAGATATCCTTGACCTCAACACAATGGTTAGAAAATTATTTGTACTGCTGATCTAGCTACTGCACAAGTATCATGGCACAAGGCCTTATGGTTCTTTATATATATTTAGGTAATGTTGTTTGAAATTTTTAACTATACATTTTTGACACACTGAATTTTAAAATAGATCAAGATAATTAGTTTTCTAACCAATTGTGAACACATTTTCAGTAAATTATAGTAAAGTGTTTCATTAAAATACAGTCACATCATAGAACAATATATTCCTTTACATTCCAATGATGTTTCATACCTGGGTTCTAGGAGGATATTTATGTATAGTGAAGCTGCTGGATACAGAGTTATGTTCCCTGTTACAGTTTGGTTACCCCTGGTCATCATGGCATGTTCCCTCATTAACTTCATACTCTCCATCCTTAGCTGTGTAACCTCTGCAGGAAAGTGACATCTCTGTAATAATTGGGGTGATTTCCCCTTATTTTCAATCCATATCATCATTTTCTTTGTTTCCCCAATTTGGACATCCCCATAGTCATTTTTCATGGAAACCACTATTCCATTCTTGTCTCGCTGTAAGTCCTCAAGAAAGGAAGATCTTGTAGGGCTGATTAGAAATTTAGCACTGAAAAAGAACGATTACGTACATTTTTCAATAAAAAGTGAATATACATTGTATTTTAATATATAAGTTAGAGAATATTTGGGTACCACCGAGTTGAATTAAGATTTAAAATGGTTGAATCCATGTAAAATTGACTTTGTGTCAGTATATTGTAGATTTTCAACATAAACAAATGTTACTATTTGAAGGTGTCTGCTTTTTGTAAACTATTTTCCATCCTTCTGGTAGTGCTATCACAATATCTGGTAAAGATCTACATTTTATTTAGTATATTGGGGAGGGAAAAATAGATCCGAGACTACTGAATTTCATCAATGACTAGCTATTCCGTCTTTGTGTATTGCAGAGTTATCTTCTCTCATGAGCAGGTATTGATTGTTACATCATTTGTTTGTGAGAGTAAGGTCATCAATTTTTGAGAAAACGATGTAATTTTCTCACACAAACCAATGACAAAACAATCAATACCTGCTCACAAGAGAAGATAACTCTGCAATACGCAAAGACGGAATATATAATAAGTGAATCATCTAACCTAACTAGTCCTTTAGAATTATAAAATAACACAATATCATTTGATTCTATAAAATAAGAATATTCCTTTCAGAAAATTAAACTGCGTAAAACATTTTTTTACATGAGACAGGTATTGGTCAAATTTTCTTAAAAATGTATCATATAGGGATTGAATGGATTTTTTTTCATGTACTTTGCAGCAATGAAGAGCAGTAGCTGATCTACATATCCTGTGGAGCGTGTTATACATGAACAAAATCCATTCAATTCATATATTTATGTTACGATGAACTGTAATAAAAAAGTTATAACCCTTTTTGTAAATTTATTATTTTTGATACTAGTATCGGACAGAAAACCATAAAAAAGGAACAGTCAGAACTCCAGCCTACACACAAACTTCAAATGTTAAACTTCCGCCAATCTGCTGATTTTGTTGAAACGAAAAATATATATCTAGAATCTAATAATAACTAACACTTGATATTCCTTTCATTTTTAAAAGTTGATCTTATTTGATGTTGGTTTTTTTTGCATTAAACACCGCATATTATATAGTCTATTTTAAAAAGTTTATGTCTGCACTTTTTCAAATCATCGGTCACCATAGTAACCATCCAGGTTACCCGTCGGCAGTACGCATCAAGAGCTCATTTGAAGTTAAATGTACAGCCGTTGAATATGCGGTTTGCAAAAAAGCCGGCAGATGTAAATGATGTTAAATTGATGGATGAAGTGACCTGTGCAATAACAAAGTTCTCTGGGTTTAATGTGCAAGTTGATGTCACGGGGATTACCCAGCTTGACGTTTGGGTGTTGGAAAGTTTGTGACCGTGAGGAACCGATTGCGAGTCGAAAGTCAGTATTTAATATGACAATGTTATAAAAAAAAAAAAAATGAAATTTAAAAGAATATTAATAATTGTACAATGGTCACCATTTCTGATTTTTGTAATGTTTATTATTATTCGCAACTATGTTATCTCTGAGAAGGGGAGATAACTCTTCTCAGAAACTGTATTCTGCATAGTAGTATGATTTGTCATTGTGTGTGAAATCAGCTGACAGGTTGCATGAGAATCGTTGTATTCATAGTGTATTCATGGTCTAATGGTAGTTGTTTTCAGTTGGTAGATTTATGAACAGAACTAACATCAAGAATGTTATATATCTTTATAGTACATTATAGTACATGTAGTTATAATTATATTATGTCCCTTAGTCAATTACTTTCTTATGTTTCATGCTTCAGGACATCTTGGGACTATACGTAACGTTGATGTAGGACTCAAACCAACCAAATAGTCTATTCAACTAGTCCTTTGGACTACCCGCCTTGAGCTATTATTTACTGTGCAATGTATCATATGGTACAAATACAGAAAACCTAACATGAATATTAATATTGGGAGGAGACTAAGCTAACTTATAACTTTTAAAATACTTCAAATTTATTCCACCGATTGCATAAAATACTTGACACATACCTTGGAGTATATGACGTAGTTACTGGCTCTACACTGATTGCACGCCAATTGTTTCTCCCCTGGACACTCTCCACAGCAACAACCTTGACCTTATCCCACTGTTTAGGGCGCCAGCCCCCCTTACATACATCATAGCTGAAAAAGACCTCCCCCTCAATGTATCCGTGGTTCTGTAATGCTCCTGTGACTTGACCGTCTCGTTCTTCAACACGTACAGGCTGGATATTTCGACCTTCAGTTTGACCTGCGTCATTTTTTGCTATATCTGCTGTGACATAGTCACCATTACAAGGGAAGAAGTTATTTTCTCCAACATCATTCTTTTGAAAGGTGAAATGGATGTAATCGCTGATGTAACCTTCTGTCCCCTTAAAATGTGTTACAACACCTACAACAGCATCAGGTTCAGAATGATCAACCTCCTCAACATAATTTCCTTCTTGATCCCAAAAGTCAGAACAAAGGATCACTTGGTCCGCATGCCAGCCTCCATCTGTGTGTTGTTGCTTTGCAACTCCAGTCACATGATCACCTCTGACTGGATTTTGATCTCCTTGAATTGCATCAAATGAGAAGTAAATTTCGTTGTCTATAAGGCCATGAGTGTTATAAAGGTGGGTGACTTTCCCGTCAATGCTCTTGTTATTCACGGAGGTGTCAGATAAACTTTCATTTTTGGGATCGACATTTCCATTGGTTTGAGAAGTAATCAGATGCTCATTATCATTACCATCCTCTCCCTCTTCCGTCCAAAAGTAGTTCACAACTTTACTTAGCACACTGAACATCACATGTGTATATGACTTACACCATCTGAAAAGAAGAAATAATCATTTTCTTTATATAAATTTTGAAAACATTTCATACATACTTTTACTTCAAAATCTGTATTCTCACTCAAAATTAATGCTGATTATAACCAACCACTCACATCCCTTAAATTGTCCTTTCCCACATGAAATGCCTTTCAGTCAAGGTTGTACAATTTCATATCAATTATCCTAGCCCAGAAAAAATATTTTGAAAATTCTGCAAGCTTTACTATATTTTCATATTTGACATTGAAAATATTTGCTTGCCCACACTCATACAATCTACTCTCTACTCTGCCAGGGTGTCAGGCTAGTTGAATCGAACACCCCTGTAAGTTTGTTACTACTTAAGCTATATGTCCCCTTATAGTTTTAATTCAATTTATTTTAATGATTAAATCACTATAAATTCAAGAGTGATTTTTCTTCTTCAAAAAAGAACATTTAAGCAAAATGCAATTGTTTCATTTTGTGTGTCAAAATGTTGTCCATCCCAAATTCACTCACCTGACTTTAACATCTTATTTTTTTTAAAATGTATTTTCTAATCCTGACCATATAAAACTAACCTTGATATTTGTATGAAAGCCATATTCATAGTATGAGAAGCAAGATGGCAAGTGTTTATACAGGGTAACAAGCTCCTGTAGGTACTTGGGAGCTGTTTCATTCAGTGCCTTGTATGTGTACATACCAAAATTTTGTACTGCGACATATTATAATATAACAAATGTCAGTGGCGGATCCTGAGACCTATCTGGGAGAGGGGGGTTCCAGGTGGGGGAAAATTGAGGAAAATTGAGAAAATAGTCAAAATACATTATTTTTAAACAAAATTCTCATCTCGTGGTGGGGGGGGGA